GCTCTCGCTCGCACGCCACTCGCTCGCTCGCTGGCTCTCGCTCGCACGCTCCGGGGCTGGTCGCTCTTGAAACGCTGTTTACAGCACCCTCGATTAAGCTAATATATAGAGTCCCTTATTAAAGCCATTAGGGAAAATGCTAAATATCCCAGGGGCCTACCCAGAGTATGCTGGCAATGTTCTCCCATACACCACATTCGCGAGCCACTAAAGCCGCACCTCCAGTCACGTCAGGCAAACCGAACCAAGCATCTTGCCATGGGTTATCCTCAAAGCCTTAAGATCACGAAGTGCCCTTACTATAGATTACCTTAAGGGACCTTAGGATGATCAACCCACTACCATGGAACCTCAAAGCAAATTCCCGACCCTGCAGTCAAGATTGCCGAGGAATGCACGCACTGGCACTCCGCGACTGCCAAGGATCAGCCATGGACCAGCTGTATTCCCCATCACCTCCGAACGAGATTTGGCCCCAGCAACAATAACATACCGTATTCCTCATTACATGGACCCCCTCTAATTTTTGGAAACCATCATTTGGGGTTTTAAGCTTTCAGGACTTAAGGCATAGGGTTCAAGGCTTAGCGCGTTACTGCTGGAGGAAGTTTCGCACCAGCTGTGTTGCCTGCTGGTTGTTAAGGCTAGGTAGGGAGTGGCAGAACAATCCCTATAGCAGTTTCCACAACCCCTTCCTTCATTCCCTACTAAGTTACTAACCACCGAATCTTAAACCCTAGACTCCCAGATGATGCATTACGTACCATCTGGTGGCAACGCCCTAGCAACAACCATTTTTGCTTCTTGTGCGGCTCGCCTGTTCTCGACAAACGCAAGCGCGGTATTTCTGGAACAGCTCGCTGGCGCAGCTCATCTCAGTCGGGATGGCATACCAGATCAGAGCAGCACTTACGCTACCATCCCGGGCACAACTTGAATGAAGCACAAACTCTGCTTTATCGGTGTGCTTGTTTCCGCTATGAGATATTGACTTGCAGCGTCGGCGTCGGCATGATCACGCTCATTCGCAAAGCTTATATATTCCCTACTTTCCATTTCATTTTCCATTCTCTTTCCCACTTGATTCTCCATTATCCCCAATATGACCCCTATATAACCCCTGTATAACCTCTATATAACCCTATATACTGCCTATATAGGCACCAACTCCTGGACCAAGGTCGGGACACTTCCGCCTGCAGTTTGCGCTTGTGCATGATGCAGCAACCATGGAGCCCCATACCCCCAAATGCAAGTAGGCCAGGATGCATGGCGGAAATCTTGCACCACTTGGGATTCCTCCAAAGATAAGTTTCTAGGGCATAAGGTATATGGGGTGGTGCAAGACTCCTGGTATCCCCCTTGTCCACTATGTAATCCTTATAGAACCCCCCCTTTAAGGAGTTTAGACCCTAAACCCTTAACCCCCAAACCCCTAAATCACCAACCCCCCTTTGAGGAGTTTAGATTGTGGCTCACATTGCTTGAGCTGTATTCCTTAATTGGGGAGGTGTGGGGCCTGTTGGGGGTTACTATTGTTATTTCTATTATTTCTACTATTAGTTTTACGACTATTACCACTACTACTACTACTACTACTACTACTAAGATTAAGACTGTCCTTAAGACTATTACTATGATGACATGTCATTACCATAAATACTATTTTTCCTATTACTACTATGACTACTATTTACTAGTACCATTACTACTATTACTTGTATCCTTCAGTTTTCGCAACATCTCTCACAATTTAGTGCCAAGCACTGCTAGATTTAGCGCTTAGGATTTAGGGTTTCCCGAGTATTGCTATATATATATATATACTGGGGTTATATGGGGATAATGGAAACGAAGATGGAAACCAATGTAGTCTAATAGCTGCAAAAATCTTACCGCCGGTGCAGTTGTTGCAGGTCTAATATCACCAGTACGTCTTGTTATGCGAAATGCTCTTTGTTACTTTCATGTTCTCCTCTTCTACTCTTGCAACACGACTACTGCTACTACCAGTGACCCTCCCTTTAATCGTGAAACACGCAAGTGCCCCTATGTGATAGCATCTCATGTACATTCGGACTATCTGTTAATACCAACCCATGACAATAGTGTTCCCATGGGACCATCTCGTAGTATACTGGGGATTTCCATTTTTGAGGGATGGGGGTTGTATTCTTGGGGGAGGGGCGAAGACCCTAAACCCTAAACCCTAAACTCTTCTGGGGGGGAGGATTCGCAAGGCCGAAGATCCCAACCTGGCCACCCGGCGGGCCCGAACCTGGTCTCAAGTGAGCAGTTTTTTTTTGGTGGTTGAACCTAGTAATATAGGGATAATGGAAAAGAAAATGGAAACTACTATATTATAATAGGGTATATATTGGGGTTATATTGGGGTTATATTAAGTAATGGGGTTTTTTTGGTGGTTGAACCTAGTAAGAATACATTCTTTATGTAAAATACTATACCCCAAAAGGAGGATTTAATCTTACTCTATATTGGGTACCGTAATACTCCCAAATAAAGCACTACTCAAGTGGTAAGGGTAAGCAACTTAAACACCAAAGCTTTTCTGAAGCACACATGAGTAGCTGCTTTGGGGTTTCAGGGGCTACTTTATTACGGTTATATTGGGGCTATATTAGGGTTATATTAGGGCTATATTATGCATATAAGTGGGTAATTGTCAAAATTATGGGTCCCTTTTAGAGGGGCCTTAAACCCGAAGCACAGATGATAAATTGTTTCAGAGCTTCACCTTTTGGCGTTCAGCATGTAGTCTTAGGCGTAAATGAAAGTGAGTTCCTGTCCCTTCCAGGCAAAACGGCAACAGTACAGGACTGAAAGCGCCGGAATCTTTTGCAATGTCTCCGGAGGGCTCAATTGTCCGACTTGGAACTGCTTAGACCTGCAGGTTTGGGCCCTTAGCCCCGAACCCTCAGTCTTTTGATGCCAGCACGCTCTACTTCCTCCTGCAGACGTGCAGCCTGACGAAGGATTTAACTCATGCAACGGTCTACGAAGTCATAACAAACGTTTTGAAGAGCGTCGGGGCGCATGAAGCAACAAAACTATCTAAAAAAAGGGCATCATACATCCACATCATGTTGGAATCTCACAAAGTGGTGAGGAGCACTCCTTCTAGGCATTTCCCAAGCTGCCGTTCCTTTCTTGGGGCGCTTAATGTTGCGGGGTCAGCTTTTTAAGGCTCCTCAGACATGCACCCAGCATGCCCTAAGCCCCAAATCCTATGCTCAAACCCTCAGCCCCAGCCCTGAACATATCCCTCCGGCCCTGGGTTATAGTCCCCCTCAAGTAGATAAAATATGGTGTATATGGGGATCTTATTATAAATATACCCAAAGCCATATTCCATCTACTTAAGGGGGACTATACCCCATCCTCAGTACTTCTGAACACAATGCCGATGAATTCTAATCAGGACCTGCCAGGAGGTCCTGGGGCCCCCACTTTCTCCTAATGTTGATGTGGCAGTTTCCCAAATTGGGGGGGGACTCAATATAGATCACAAAATACTATAATCCTTATTACTGGGACCTTAAAAAGGTACTCCTAATTGTGGGAACCCTAAACCCTAAATAGTAGTTTCCATTTTCTTTTCCAGTATCCCTATATAACCCCTATATAACCCCTATATACCCCCTTTAAAAAGGTACCCCCAATTGTGGAAACCCCCATTTCTTAGGGCCCAACAGGATGATCCTTCAGGTTGGAGATCAAGCTGTGCACGCCCGACCCATGGCCTGCCTGTATGGAAGGTATCCCGGCTCGGGTTTGGGTTCGGGTTTTGGGGGTTTTAGGGGTCTAGGGATTTGAGGTTTAGTAAGGATTTTAGGATGTTTTGAGGTTTAGTAAGGCCTTTAGGGTTTAGAGGTTCAGACCCTAAACCCTATGTTTCACCCTAAGCCCTAAACCTTAAGGTTTAGGGTTAGATTTTGCCTTCTGACTTCAACCCCTCGCATGGCCAAAGCAGAAGAGGAATCCGACTCACAAGGCCCGTCTACCCGGACAAAATGGGCTGAGGGTTTTAGAAGCGGGTTACGGCTTCAGGGTTGGGGTTTAGAGTCTACGTGACGTGGACCCCCCACCCAGTAATAGTGACTATAAGGGATAATAAGGATAATATAAAGGTCCTCTTAAACTCCTACTATACCCCTATTACAGGTTGTGGCGTCCTCCTAATGTTAGGTGTTTAACGCCTCTAGGCTTTTGGTTGGAGAGCTTGTGAAGATTGAGGGTTAAGGGGCTTGGGGGCTCGTGAGCGGCTACAGCCTTATGATCGACACATAGTTTAGCTTTATGCTGCGCATCACTGCTACCAGTACAGCCCTACGGCTGCCAGTCTACTTGCATGTTTGAGGCAATCATGTTTCTTCCTTGTTTCGTTGTTGTTCAAGCTCATCTGGCGCAAGCATTCTTGTCGTCAATACAATGATCACACATGGCATTCTTATCTTCTCACGAACTAACACTTGCTTTACAGGGACGGAAGTATTTGTAGGCACCCCTTTGCAGGCCCCACATAGTTCGGGCACATGAGTTCACCCTGAACCCCAAAGCCCAAACCTTACACATCCCCATATATCCCTGCAGGGCGCACCCCCTATAACAGGGTCCATAATGCCCATCTTGGAAGAGGGTACCACACTTCCTGCCGCGCCTTGGATGATGGCCCGAAGCCTGACAATGCCAGCTAAGAAGAGACAACTTGAGGGCTTCAGCCGTTTACATCCTAAACTCTGATGTAGAGGCTTGAAAAATCACCAGTAACCAATACTATTTTGATGTCTACTTGAGACACCCTTTATTACATAAGGAATGGGAGCATGATATTGGCATCAATTCTTTCGGACCGTAGAGTACACCCTTTTGCATCCAGTCTGCGCGGCCTCTGCTTTGAAAGCGACTCCACGGTCACTTGAAAATGCTAAGGCTACAACGTAAGCCCAACTGCTTTTGGAGGGTTCCTTGTTGCCACGCCAGGATTACCAAAGCCCCGCCGCTGACTGCGGAAGCCTGCTCGATGCGACTCGCCCAAATCGTTCTCGGCCTGGTTCTGAGCATATTCACAGGTGTTTTTGGTTTAAGTGGGCCATGAAACCAGACAAGTGGCAACGCTTATGTGAACGTAGTCACAGCAGTAGGAGGACGTCTTCCCGAGTGCTGGCGGGTGTGTTGTTGGTGGTAGCAGCCGTGGTCGCGGTCATTGTGGTGGTAGTGGTGGTTGTGGTGGTTGTGGTGGTTGTGGTGTTTGTGGTGGTTGTGGCGGTTGTGGCGGTTGTGGTGGTTGTGGTGGTTGTGGTGGTTGTGGTGGTTGTGGTGGTTGTGGTGGTTGTGGTGGTGGCGGTGGTGGCGGTGGCGGTGGTGATTGTGGTGGTTGTGGTGGTTGTGG